ATTCTGATTGGCACACCAATAAGGCTCTTCTAATGCTGGGACTTCTTTTTCAGGACTGTTTATCATTGCCCATTTTGTAATTTGTGCCGTCTTGGGAAAGGTCTTGGTGTTGATTTCTTCCATTGCATGAAGTGCAATTGCTGCCTTGGGATGAAATTAACAGAACACAAATGCCGGGAGAAAGGGCTAGAGACAAACTGTCCAATCTGCTGTGATTTCCTATTTACATCAAGCGCGGCAGTTAGAGCTCTTCCCTGTGGCCATTTCATGCATTCAGCTTGCTTTCAGGTGTGTTAAGGGCCTGTTCAGATTATAGCCAAAATAAACCTTACCAAATTAATTTTGGCAAGATGGCAATATTGCCAAAATTTTGGTAGGATTTCTTATGTATTTACCAAATTTGGTAGCAAACTAAACGTAGACATTTTTTTGGCAACTTTACCAAAAAAATGGTATGGTTGAAAATGGTATCAAAGTGAACAGGCCCTAAATCTAGTTGGATCATGATGCAATTTGCTGACATTATCTTCACACTGTCAATAATGAGTCTGACTAATTAATCAATTTATCAATTGCAGGCATACACTTGTAGTCACTACACTTGTCCTATCTGCTGCAAATCCTTGGGAGATATGGCGGTAAGCTACATCACTTTTACAATATTGTGGCTATTTTGTTTTTACAGTAATGACATGAGTTCTATGCTTGATTAGTTTGCATACTTTGGTGAAAGTGCTTATTTCTCCTTATGCAAATCTAGAGAGTATTTGCTAAGCTGCCTTCATGGAACAAGAAATTAGCACCATTATTATCATACTAATGTTATGCACCTTTTCTACAAAAATAAAACAACAACATTGTTCTGTTTCTTAATATAATAAAGGATTTTTTTCCTGCACTAGTCCTGATGACTCCTAAGGGCTATAGTTTACCAGTCCCTCAGTTATAAACTCGTTTCTTTATTGTGATTTGTGAGTTAGGGGGTGAGGGTGTTTTACTGTGAGTACCATCATTTGATGATTGTTTGCAGAATATTTTGCTTGCCTGCAGACAAAGAATAAAGGCCAAAAGAAAACTTTACAGTCTCTTTCATTTTTGTGAGAAACTGATCTTTGTTATGTGGGGATATGTGAAACTAATCAAATACTGCTAGTTTCATTTTTTGTTGTTTGAATTTTAGCTGCAATTAGATGACTTAATGCGATATCTTGTCCTGTACATGTGATACCCTACAGTGTTCTGTCCAAATATTACGGAACTGTGATCCAGATTCATGATTTACTATGTTTCTTAACCTAGTCTGTTATAGGCTTCATGCTGCTGAGGGATCTTGAATATATTGCTTCTTGGATGATTTGTGATCTGTTTGGAGTTATCCAAACAATTTAGCTGTATCTCCTACAATATCTCATGCTATAATGAGTGCTATTGATGAGCAGTCTAGATTTGAAAACACGCTTATGAATCTTAACGAATATACATGTTCTTTTTTGTCGATATACAGGTGTACTTTGGCATGTTGGACGCCTTGCTGGCTGCTGAAGAGCTTCCTGAGGAATACCGTGATCGGTGTCAGGTATCCCAGATCTTCTATTCTTGGTTTTCGCTCTTTCACCCGCTGCGTTATTTATTCCTTTGTTGTTTTACTCATTCAGGATATACTTTGTAATGATTGTGAAAGAAAAGGGAGGTCTCGATTTCACTGGTTGTACCATAAATGCGGCTCCTGTGGTTCTTATAATACCAGAGTTATCAAGACCGATACAGCAGATTGTTCTACGCCAAACTAGTGGGGAATTATTCTTTCTTCGTTTTTGGCATATGTAAATATAGACTTACAATACATCGTGTAGTTGTGTAGCATAGCTACCATATTTTTCATCCCTTAGCTAGTTCATTTTTGTCAAGCCTAGCTGCAATCTACTAGGTCTAGTGTAAGCTGTCAAAATGGACGCTACATGCACCTTCCTTTCTGCCCCCTGAAGCCCTTCGACGCATAAGTATACAGTATATAACTATAGATTGATCCGATTCAATATCTCATGATCCGTTTATGCCTGTATTCTTTCATCGTTCGACGCGTTCAAAAATGCTGTTTTCCAGGGTTGTTCTCTTGCTTCTTGAACGTTTTACGTATATTCTAAAGGTAAGTCAGTCCCAACCCTTTCCCTTAATTTTTCTTGTGAAGTTGTATCGATTTTGTCGCTTGCATGGCTGACACCCCCAAAACCAGCCCATTATCAACTTGATCCCATCAGCTGGTTCTACCACAAGTAGAAGTGGGCTAAGATGGCATGCGGCCCACTGCGGCCGGTTAGTCAGCCAGTTGCTTGGTGGTGTAGCATATTTAGCCCATTTGAATATTAGGGGGTTATTCAGATTGATGACATTTTCAACCATACCTATTTATTATTTTTAGCAAAATTACCAAAAAAAAATTGTCTACGTTTAATTTATTGCCAAATTTAGTAAATACATAACAAATCCTGCCAAAATTTCGGTAATATTGTCATGCCAAAATTTTGGCAATGACAAAATTTGGTAAGGTTTATTTTGGCTACAATCTGAACAGGCCCTAGATCTGGCAAGGATGTCCGGGAATAAGAATAAGTCTACTTTACCTCCATCATGTCTTGATCCTGATTGAATCGGCTCCCTCAATTGTGAAACCGGGTATAACATCTCTCCCTTTTTGAAAACCAGTGCAAACAACCTTCTTTGGTGGTTTAGGAAGTAGTTTCTGTTGACGTGGCAAGTTGGTTGTGGTTGACTTGCTCAGCAGGTGGGACCCATATGCTAGTGACTTTCACCTAATCTCATCTTCTTCTTCACCTCTCCCCCCTTCTCTTTCCTATCTTCCCTCTTCTCCCACATGCGCCGATGGCCTCGCTAGGCACCGCGCTATCACACCCGACCACCCTCGCAAGCAGCTCCTCGGTCTCGTGTGGGACTGTAGCTGCTGTGGGCGGCAGGGGCGTCCTCCTCCCCGTGTGGATGGCACGACCTCCGTGGTGGAAGTGGCAGCATCTGTGATATGGCGACGCTAGCCAAAGCCAACACGACCAATGGTGGAGGCGGCGGAGATGCTAGCGCTGGCGGCTGACCGAGAGGAGCTGGCGCGCCTTGATGTTGTTGTGTGGCTGTGCCGGTCAACCGCTGTGCCCGATGAGTTTCTCATCTACGACACATGACCAGCTCCCCTCCCCGTCTGGCATGCTCGATAGTGGTGGGGGGATGCAGGACCTCGCGGTGAACACGGCGATGTTGCTCGCGTTTTAGCATGTGGTGGGACCGTGGCTACCGTGGGCAGCGGGGGTGTCCTCTTCCCTGTGCGGATGGCCTGACATCCATTATGGAAGTAGCAGCGTTCGGCATGGTGGACATGTTGGTCAAAGAGGTGATGCGGTGATGCCGATCGATGCCAGCACTGGCGCACGGTCGATGGTGGAGGAGGTGGGGGCGTTGGCTGCCGACCGAGAGGAACGGGTGTGCCTCGACGCTGTCGCACGGCCGCGCCGGTCACTTGCTATGCCCGACGAGCTCCCCGTCCACGACACATGACCAGCTCCCCATTCGACATGCTTAGTGGTGGTGGTGCGACGCAGAACCTCGTGGTGGACACATCAGCGATTGTCATGGGCGACGGGAGCATCCTCCTCCCTGTGCGCATGGCGTGGTGTCCGGATCGGATGTGTTGGCGCTGGCGGTTCACCGGGAGGAGCGGGCGTGCCTTGAGAAGCTCCTTGTCTCTTACTTCGTTGGCGCCGAAGCCCTCTCCTCACTCCTCCACGATGGCAGTGGCTCCTCACTCCTCCACGGCGTCAATGCCATGCGCCGTGCGTGCTTGGGTTTCATGTCATAGGGTGTGGATGGCCAATGGCGGCACATGACATGTAGGACCAGCGGTGCAGATGACAAGGTAGCGAGGGAGGTTGTGGACTTGTGGTCACCGCTGACGGGATTTGTGTGGCCGGCCTCGGGGGAGGGATAGAAAAGAGAGGAGAGTCGCGGACATATGTGTCCTACATTCTACGTAAGCAAAAACTGCTTACCTAACTACTAAAGAAGTTTTGCACCGATTTTTAAAGATGGAAGATGCCATATGTCCAGTTTTACAATTGAGGGATGTAATTTGTCCAAGGGCAATACTTAAGTAAGGAAAAATAGATTTATTCCACGGGAATATATCTCGTGCATACAAGTTTCCTATGTACAAACCGTGCACACCAACTAACAAATTTCACCAAAAGTATTTACCTCAAATTCATTATATTTTAGCCGCAATGAAAAAGATAAAAAAAAATAAATTTTGATATATTTAAGTGTGAATCTATCAATTTTTTCTTTTTTTCACCCTATATTTAATGAATTTGAAGGTGAGATTTTACATGTAGATATAATACTACTAATATAAGAGTGTATATAAATATTTTTTCAAGAGTTTTGTTGATATTTTGTGTATATGTACACGAAAGACTTGTATGCATATGGTACGTTTCCAGAATGTCAACTACAAATTTAGAGTGCACATACTTGTGTATTTAGTGATAAGCCTTGGCCATATTTTGAAGGGAAATTTTGTTACATGACACTGTTTATGTGTGGTTTTAGCTCTAGGACACTGTCCAAACTTACTTTTGGAGGAAAACACTCCATAAACATGGTAATTTGTCAGTGGACACCGTGCCAATTAAAATAATAATTTCCGATTGAAGAGGAGAGAGAAATCGCGTGAAATGTCAAAAATACCATTGGGCCCACATGTCAGCTCTATCTCCTATCTCTCTTCTCCTTTTCCTTCTGATAGCTGGCGCTCCAGCTCCTCGACGGTGCACGCAGCGGCGGGCGTCTCAACTTCCTCGAGACATTGGCGATACACGCACGACGTGTTCCAACACGGTTCGCCGGAGCACGTGGCGGAGCACCGGGCTGAGCACCTTCCAGCACCTCTGCACGCTGCAGGCGTTCTCCAGTACCGAGTTGAACGCCGCCAGCGGGTCTCATTGCCGCCGGAGCACGCTCACGGTGGCTGGCTTTGTCGCCGCCGTGGTGGCGGCGCCGGCGGCGAGGCGTGATACGATGGGCGCCCACGACATGTCGAGGTAGCTCTTGACGTAGCCCTCCATGCGCTCCTCCCAGGCACGTGCCCATCCCGACGGCAGGAACATGGCGAGGTTGGAGCGCACGGCGTGGCGCACGATGGCGTGCGTGTTGTTCAGCATGAACACCTGCCTCGTCCTCGGGAATGCAAGCTCGCCAGACTTCTCCTCGAGCACGGCCTCCAGGTGGACCGTCGGGCCAATTCGACGGTGGGTACGCACCCTCGCCACCGTGGCCGGCGTGGCGACGACGGTGCAGAGCACGCCATGGGTGGCCAGCAGCAGTGCGGTGTCGACCGCCGGTATGAGGTGGCCCTGCGCCATGAGCGGGACGAACACAAAGTGCGCCGCCGCCATCGATGCAGATAGCTCGTGTTCTCGCTGGCGATGTATTGCTATTGCTTGTGCAGCTAGCTGCTGATCCATCCATATGTGTGTGTGCGCGCTTTAAAGAGAGACGTGACGGCCGGTGCTGTGTTCAATTGTTTGTTTCCATATGCCGGCATTTGGGAAGACGACGATGATGTGGACCGGCCGACCTCATTACCGGGAGGAAGAAGAAGAAGGGAGAAAGAAAAGAGAGGAAGAGAGATAGAAAGCTGACATGTGGGTCTAAGGGTATTTTTTACATTTCACGTTATTTCTCTCTTCTCTTCAACCGGAAATCATTATTTTAATCGGCGTGATGTCTACTGGCAAATTACCATGTTTATGAAGTGTTTTTCCCAAAAGTTAGTTTAGGCAGTGTCCTAAAGCTAAAACCATATATAAGCAGTGTCCTGTAGCAAAATTTGCCTATTTTGAAGTGTACAAGACGTGCTTGCGTGTGTGTATTGTGTGTAGGGTGATGTATTTGGTGTGTGTTAAGTGCGCATCCAAATATAAAATCTCTCTAAAAAAGTGAGGTGCGCGGATGGCTTAATGAGAAAGGGGATTCGGGGACCTCACTTAATGGCTTAATATAATCGCCACAGTCGTTGCCACCCTGTGCTAGGGATTCGGGGACAAAGGGGAAAAATTTAGTGGGGGGAGAGAGAAAGAGGACGGTCATGCACATATTGCAGCCGTGCGGCATTGCTGACGTATCAAATTTCACCATGTTGGACAGCCACATGTGTATTTTAAGTCAAAACCGTTCACAACTCTGTTTGGGGATCATCTATCCGGTTTATATAGTTTAGGGCGTAAAATATTAGGTTTTCGAGTCAAGGTGATGATCCGATCAATCTCGATAGGTTAAGGGGGTAATTGGTACTGTATCTTTGTTTTTTATAAAAAGAAGTGAACCAAACATGAGATGCATTTTGAATAATGGTCATCTACTAATTTTGTTTTTCATAAACTATCAAATTTCTCACATTCAAATGCATGATAGTGCTTCTGCAACGAGGTTGCTCTAGCATAAGCAGCCTTATTTAATTTTTGGGTGGTGGTCAAGGTGGAATTCTGCAGTGACCCCTAAGCTATGCGAGTCATCTTGGTTACCTAGAACCGGCAATAGCGTCTTTCTCAGCGTCGCAACTTTATTGAAAATGTCATTTCTAAGGATATTTTCCTACCACATTCTTTTCTAGACGACTATCCTCTTGCGGTGGACCGCCACAAGATGACCATGTTGGCGCCTTGGCGGGCCAGTACGAGAGAGGGTGGATCCATTCTCTCTTGACCTCCTCCCCCTCTCTCTCTCTCTCTCTCACCCTTTGATGTGTATAAAGCCAATCAGGTGCGTCGGGTTGTCATTCTCCTGGTTGTTTCCCTTAGTGAACGATCTTGTTGTAGGCATGAGGCATGGCTTGTGGTTTTCTTTCCTGATTATAGCCTCTCAGGGCTATGCTATAGTCTTGTTAGTTTTTTTCTGTGCTATATCAATATGGAACATCACATTTTCTTGTTTGGCCGATCAAAAAATTAGTAAATTGTGGGAGGTGAGCCCAAGAGTGAGAAATCTTAGGGCCGGGCTACAGGCGTAATAAACAAAACCGTTAACAATTTTTTTTCCTGAAAACTCTCAATTTGTTAATCATCAGATTGCATTGAGATTTGTTTAAGGGAGTAGGGAATTATTTTTTTTTTACGACATGTGGGTGCCAAGGGGTTTTCGAACCCACGATCTCAGGTGAAGGAGAGTGTGGGGCTAGTCAATCGGGCACACGTTTTTTAAGTTGATTTTATACCGGTTACATATAAATTATAGTGTAATTATGATTCAATTACACTATACTTGTAGTTGAAAGATTTTATAAAAAAAAGACTGAAAATGTATCGTATAGCCACTTCCTTTTCAACAACTCACACACTTTATTCTATTTCAATCTGGTTTACACGATGCATCCTACAATCTGGTTTTAGGATGACAACTCACTGATCTGATTCTGACGCCCAAGGTGCATCTCATAAAGAATGTACTGATGGTGATGGAGCCAGTCCAACTGACATTGGAGTAGAGTTATATATATATGCTTCACCTATGTGGCTCCGTATCACCTCTAATTTGAAGGCAATGCTTGACCAAATATTTTAAGTCTGCTTTCTAGCACAGTGTAACTTGACCCAGCAATAAACAAGATTGCAGTAGCACGTAGTTATCTTGACCTGGCCTGACTACAAAGTTATCCATTCTAGTATCGATTTTCATGGTATGCTTGATGGGGGATAGGAATTCGGTGCTGTTCTGGGAGGATTGTTGGCTGCAGGGTTCCTCCATTCGGTCGCTGGCGCCAGCTATCTATGCAGCCGTCCCTGCTCGTCTCCGGAATCATCGCACGGTGGCCGAGGTAATGACTGACAGAAGATGGATCTAGGACATCAATTCGGCGTTAGGTATTCAAGCGATCCTAGAGTATTTCAAGCTTTGGGATTGCCTTCAGTCAGTGTAGCTTTCTGAAAAACCGGACTCTCTATCTTGGCAGTGGGAGACCTCAGGAGAATACTCTTCCCGCTCGGCTTATCGTGTTCTCTTTTTTGGAAGAACTCGTCTCCAGCACAAGCCAATTTGGCAATCTTTGGCGCCCCCTCGCTGTCGCTATTTCCTTTGGTTGGTAGCTCTTAACCGTTACTGGACAGCGGACCGCCTCCGGAGCCGTGGTTTGTTGCACCCGGATGGATGTGTTCTGTGTGATCAATGCGAAGAGACGATTGATCATCTCTTGGTCGCATGCCCGGAGTCGCAGCAACTGTGGTGGGTTGCGCTCAGAGCTATTGGGCATTCGGAGTGCTTACCGCTCAATGAACACTCTTTCTTCTCATGGTTGTGTGACTGTCATAAGAAGATGGTCAAGGAACATCGATGAGGTTTCGACACCATCGCAACGTTGGTTGTATGGACAATCTGTAAGGAAAGAAACAATCGAGTCTTCAACCAGAAGAGCAGAACTTGGACGGAGGTTGCAAGGGTTATGACGGGTGAAGCTGAGCTGTGGCGGCTAGCTAGAACTGCAATCCCTATTTTGGTAGCCCATGTTAGTGGAGATGGGTCGCAAAATTTAGTTGGAGATTAGGCTCCTTTGGTTTTTGGTTCTCCTCCTGTAACCTGTTCCCTTCGCTTTGTTTTTTTGCCCGCTTTGTACATACATTTATTTCTTCTTAACATAAAGATGTGCTCCTTGCGTATTAAAAAAAACAAAGTTATCCATATTGCCTCTCAAAGAAGTTTCGCTAATCTAAAGTTAAATTGACTACAACACTTGACGTGTTGACTTGTATGGTTATACCCGTTAGGCACTGTCTGAAACATTTTTCTTTATTAATGTGGGAGAGCCAAATGTCCTGCATTTTCAACATTGTCTAAATTAATAACAACGTAAACTTACTTCTTTTGGAATAAGGTATTGAAGAAAGTAAACGGAGTTACGGAGAGCAAACCCTTTTTATGGAGAAAATAACTTGTAGTAAGTACCTCGCATGCATATGGAAGCGCACTTGCCTGAATTTAAACTTTTTTAGTGTAACTGAGTTATGCTTGAAGCATACCTTCTTTTTCTTTTTCGATCTTGTTGGAAGCAATCCTAGTACAGCTTGGTCATGCGAATGTGCTGAATGTTGTCTATGCCGGATCGCCCCCCTCATTTTCCATTAATTACCAACACATAGCGTTAATAAAAATGTCGATGATAAGGCGGCAGTTACTGGCGATAAACCCAAAGTATACTGGTGCTGTGTGGTCCAGCAGACAACTTGCGAATTGTGATAGCAGCAGCAGGAAAGACACGGACTGAGACCTGTACTAAGGTACTCTTTGATTTAAAGGAAATTCATAGTAATTTTAGAGAATTTTATTTCTATAGGATTTTTTCCTATATAGCCTTTTGAATCAAAGGAATGGATCCTATAAAATTCCTATAGATTGTCTTTTCCCATGTAAGTTTTGGAGGAAATTTAACATGAGGTAGAACCTCATGGAAAGAATCCTTTGAGTCTTTATCTATTCTCAAATTCCTGTGTTTTTCCTGTGGCCCAATCAAACAGTCATTTCTATGTTTTTCCTGTGTTTTGCAATCCTCTGTTTTACACTTGCATTCCTGTCATAATCCTATATTTTTTCTATTCCTCTGTTTTTTCATTCCTGTGATTCAAAGGGGCCCTAAAACTGGAAAAAGGAACCACACTTAGGGCTCCTTTGAATCAAAGGAATTATGAAGGAATTTCATAGGATTGAAATCCTATAGGAAATTTTCCTATGTAGCCCTTTGATTCAAAGGATTGAAGTTTTCCAAATCCTACAAAAATCCTATGGAATGGCTTGCTGCATATAGGTTTTGGAGGAAACTTAGGGCCCCTTTGAATCACAAGAATGAAAAAACGGAGGAATAGGAAAAACATAGTATTCTGACAGGAATGCAAGTGTAAAACAGAGGATTGCAAAACACAGGAAAAACATAGGAATGACTGTTTGATTGGGCCGGAGGAAAAATACAGGAATTTGAGGAGAGATAAAGACTCGAAGGATTCTTTCCATGAGGTTCTACCTCATGTTAAATTTCCTCCAAAACTTGCATGGGAAAAAACAATCCATAGGAATTTCATAGGATTCTATAGGATCTATTCCTTTGATTCAAAGGGCTATATAGGAAAAAATCCTATAGGAATAAAATCCTCTGAAATTCCTATGAATTTCCTTTGAATCAAAGGGGGCCTTAACAAGAGGTAGAACCTCTTGGTAAAAATCCTTTGAGTCTATCTCTCTCATCCGATTTCTGTGTTTTTCCTTTGGTCCAATCAAACGATCATTCCTATGTTTTTCTTGTTTTACAATCCTCTATTTTACACTTATATTCCTGTCAGAATCCTATATTTTTTCTATTCCTCCGTTTTTTTCAATCCTACGATTCAAAGCGCCCTTACTGTGTACGTTCTGTGGC